GCACTTTACGCTTAACCTCGACACAGCTTGCAATGCAATAATAGTGTCTATTCAACATTTATTTTGTATTTCTATTGTCTAATATTTACTACAGACGTGAATTATAAAGTAGGTAAACATAGAATAATATTTTATTGTAATGTAGTATTGTTATGTAATGGGGTGTGGTTATAGGCATACCCTTTGTCATATGGTTTAACATTAGTTATTTTGTAACTGATCGAAGTTTTTGATGTCGAACAATAATCGTATTTCATTCGCTATATTGTTTACTAGCTTATGTCGGCGGGAACCTAGCCTACGGGTTATACTAGACCATATTCTACTCTAGTTTTAAATTTCATCCCGATACCCCATCAGCTGTAACACGTGATTTATAAACACAACATAACATAACATCACACCTTCTATTCTCGAAGGGGTTTTTTAAGAGGACAAAGCATCAAATGACGGCTCCCGCCTGGGTGAGGCGGGAGGGAGTGTCAGACTCTTACTGTCTAAAAACCACCCCGTCCCTTCTCCTGCACGTCAAGCCGGAACTCCAGTAACCCACACATCTTTTATTCTCGAAGGGGTAGGGTGCACATTACGGCACTTAATGCCACTGTACAATGTAACATTTTTCACTATTTATGTTATAGTCTCTTGTAATAGAAGGGAGTCTATTGCCATATACCGGGCACAATTCCAGACTCTGTGCTACTACTAAGATTTTTTTTAATTGAACCCGGGATCCCTTGCCCGGCAGTCGCACTTGCGACCACTCGGCCAATGAGGCGAATATAAATAATCTTATTAGTATTATAATTTACAACAAACTATATAGTTTTGACCTCTGTAATAAGCGACTCGTAAAACATCCGACTCTAGAATTGAGAACATCTTTCTCTTATTGAGTATTTCAAAGACCAAAACAGCAGTAACCTTACTAACTTGCTCGGTAGTCCTCAAAAGTAGAAACATTATGTCATATTGACAACCAAACACTACCTATACACGCTGGGTCCCCAGACCCACTGTTGCATAAACTGTATAATTCTTGCAGACCTCGTGCTGTCGACGTGTAGGGAATATATATATTGCATGTTATATAATATAATTATATGTATATAAGGAAGCATCTCACTTGGTCACTTGGCCATAAGCCTGCAGTTTACGCATGCGTATTAAACACACGTCTCAATTAAATTAGAATCAGATGCATCGCGCATTATTGATTTGTTTATTCTATTTATGTGTGGTGTTTGTTTCCGTGAACCTTTGTGGACAGGATTATATCTCGAGCTATGTTTTATTATTCAACAAAATAATGAAAACGTAAATGAAAAAATGTGTTTGTTATTTTTACGATTTTTCATGATTTCTTATTCAATATAGGAAATATAATAAAGGATTTTTTCATTCTTCTATACCTTTTGATTACCGATTTTGATTAATTTTGACAGACCACGTTATAATTAAAAAAAAATTGGAAAAAATTCGCTTTTCAAAACTCAAAAGTCAAAGCATTTATTTCAACTAAACCATAGAGAGGTATTTTTGAAACATCAACAAATAAAGAATAGTCTGCCAGTCTGTCCGTCTGTGAGGCTAGACTTAAGTTCAGCACGAACGTATGTCTGGTCACTGCTGCAGACTTACTTCTTATTTTATGTATCAACCAAATAAGTGAAAAAAATAATTAATTAACTCGTCGAGTACCGTCATTATAGACACAATTATAGAACAATAGGTTGCGGTCACCGGTGACCGCTTGGTGTTTGACAGTTTAAAAGAAATAAGAAAAAAAATTAATGCTACATTTTTACTAAAGAAAGATTTTTTGAAAGACTTTTTATCTCGAGAGATTTTTCAAAATAATTTTATTTTAACAATCCCTACCTTGCTTTCACACAAACATATAAGTTTAATGATTGTTTATTCACTCATAAAGAACATGGTTCACTTACAATGAGCTTAAATGACTAATTACAGCTAGGTATACAGAGTTCTGACCAAACGGTATTAATAAATATTTTTAGATACACATTTTTTTGACCTATTTTTAAACATGGTAATCGACTGACATTCCTTATTTGGCAAATTATTATACAATTGTGCTCCCTCATATGTTATACATATTTTACCGTAATTTGTTTTGTGCCTTTGTAGTTTAATCTTGTTTGTATTTCTCAAGGAATGATAAATAGTATTTGACCCGATAGTATTTTTCAGCACATATTCAAAGTCAAAGCATTTATTTCAATTAAACCCTAATTTGATACTTTTGAAACGTCAACAAATCCTTACTAATATTATAAAACGGAAAGTGAGTTTGTTTGTTTGTTTGTTCCGCTTTCACGCCAGAACTACTAAACCGATTGCTTTGAATTTTTGCAGATGTATAGTTAGAAGTCCGGATTAAATAATAGGGTACTTTTTATCCCGGAGAAATTTGATATTCCCGAGGGAAAACAAAAGTATTGGTATAGATGGCGCTGTGTGTATTGGTATATGTCATGTTGGCTTTTTATTCTTTTTGTGACTCGAGCGAAGCCGCGGGTAAAAGCTAGTACAAAATAAATAATAGTCTGGCAGTCAGTACGTCAGTGAAGCTTGGTGAAGCTAGGAGCTCATTCCAAAATGTAGATTCGAATGGAGAAGAACGAGCAAGAAACTCCATTCGTTACTCTTTTTAAAAAAGTATGTTCTACATTTATTTTTATTATTACATTGTAAGTGTAGGTCTGTTGCAAGTTAAATATTTATGTTTCAGTGTATAATTGACGTGTATAGTAAGATAGTCATAGTTAAATAGAGATTAAATGGCTTTGTTTTGTGAAACTTGAAGATCATTCAAATTAGATTTAGCAACACATCCCCATATTTCTATAAAATACTCTAAGTGAGACCTTACGAGAGAATTATATATGGTCATGCGTACTGTTTGTGGAATACAACCTGATGCTCTTCTAAGAATCCCAGTCAGTGATGATAATTTCGATTTGACATGGGCAATGTGGTTTTTCCAAGTTACTTTATTATCAAGTCACAAACTTAAATATTTTTCCTAATGGGAGCGATGGATAACAACATTATCTATAGTTAACAAGGGGTATTGAGGGATCCTTTTATTTTTAGCTGAAAATAGCATGTATGATGTTTTACTGGCATTCACTGTTAGTAAGTTACTTTGGCATATCATATTTACATTAGTAAATAGTGCAGAAATACCTGAGTTATGTGTATATAATATATAACCTCAAGGCAAGCTACACAAAGGTTTCACGAGCACATTCTAAATGCAATGAGTTATGCACACAAACACACAACGATGATTAATATTGTAACACAGAATAAACTCAAAAGGACTCATTAAAGCGTTTAAATAATATAAAAGATAATTAGTTAAATAATAATGGCTAGTCGAGGTTGAATCTTCTGAAGATAAAGTATATGTACATAGTACATGTGCAAAGACGCACGTCCCGGCGACTGTCGCGCTGAATACGAGCCTCCAGCATGGTTTCAAACTAGTGGAGTTCCTCGTCAAATAATTACGTGAGTAGGCCGAAAAATTCGCCTGTATCGTGGGTGAGTTTACAAACATACAAGTTACAACAATTTGTGGATCACACAAAGAGTTGCTTCGTGCGGGAATCGAACCCGCAACGCGTTGCACGGTAGCCGGTTGCCCAGCCACCGCACCAACAGTGCCGTCAATCAAAGTCAAAGTCAGAGCATTTATTTCAATTAAACCATAATTTGGTACTTTTGAAATGTCAACAAATACAAAATAAATAAAACTCTGTCAGTCAGTCCGCCAGTGAAGCTAGGTGAAGCTAGGTGCTCATTCCAAAATGTAGATTCGAATGGAGAAGAACGAGAAAGAAACTCCTTTCGTTACTCTTTTTAAAAAAGGTATGTTCTACAATGTCAATAAAACTAGGTTAACTTAGGCGAAGTTCACCTGTTTTAATTTTGTTTATTTTATAACTTTTTACACCTCTGCCTACTCCTTCGGGGATAAAAGACAATGACGTTATGTTATGTTAACATCCATTATTTCCTTTGAAATACTTTGATGCATCCCCCTTCAGACATTTACATCGACCTTCTAAATATCCTGCATACGATACGTAGTTGCAGCTAACTGTTATTTATACTAATTGTTTATTTGATAGCCTTAGAATCGAACACCTTGACCTCCACTTTTCAAAGCTTTACAATTATTTGATCATTATGTTACATTATTGTAAAGCTGCATGCAAGCATGGCCAGGTGAAATAATTGTATTCATTTATTTTGTTGTTTGAAGGTTTCAAGGGTTTTATTAATTTTAATTGAGTAATTATGTCATGGAATAACACCGTAAATAATAGTTTCCTTATTACGTAAGTATGAAATGAATCAATATATAATATTAGGTATGGAATACATTAAGGTAAAAACTATATGAAAATATTTCGAAGCATAGACTTACGCTGCGCGTTGATGTCTTTTGTTTGTAGCATTGACTTTCAGTTTTATTATTAATGTTTATCGTTATTAAGACCAAAATTTGAGTAAGTATAAATATAAGTGACATGCATAAGTGAAACCCTAACAATTTAAATGGTTTTCATAATACAATCACTTTCTTTAATTAAAATCGTCACAATCGTGATGCTAGCTCAAATATCTGAAACTCGAATAAATAATAAGTTTAACTCGTCGAGTACCGGTTTTGTAGACACAATTATAGAACAATAGGTTGCGGTCACCGGTGACCGCTTGGTGTTTGACAGTTTAATACCGTGTATATTTTTTATGATAAGATACCATCGTAACTTAGAAATATTGTGGCTTTATATGGAGCTCGGTCACATAGTAGACCTATTCATTTTCAACTCCAAAATCAGAACTTCACCTGCCTTCCTCTTCTTCTCTCTTCATGGAGATTGTGGTACCCTATTATGTTGCCTCGTACTCCAGGCATGGACTCTCACAGGTTTTTGTTGATGATGATATTAAAGACGTACCGTTAACAGCATCATAGTAGGCGATGGTTCCCGTGAGTGCAGCGCGGCGTCGACGATGCAGTACACGTCGCCCGGCCGCCGGCACTGTTCCCACTCATCCAGCCCGTACAGGGGAGGCAGCGTCGCCAACACCGTGTCTGGAAGGCACAGACAGGGAAGATTCTTAGATTTAAGAAAGGATAATTTAATATTAAGTACTTACTTTCGTAATGGATCGGGAGAATGGACATGCCAATGTGAGAGACAACTACAAACTTATGTTACTTTAATTTCAAAAATCAAGGAGCTATTTAATAGACTAGGCACTATTCCAAGCTCCGTGATATCACTGGGAGATTTTGAATTGGAAATATAACCAATAATACTTTGTCCGTCTCGAAAATTGAAACCAAAACTCCTTGGTCAGCCATCGCACTTGTGATCACTCGACGACACCATAGTCAGAATAATCATAGATAATATTATCATTACAATTGTTTTAAAATACGTCATCGATTGTAACCCTATAGAATTCTATGCACGGGATACCATTAACACAAGAGTCACGAGGCTCCGTACCTCATATAGGGAACAATGTAATTACTTGTAGGCCGATGTATGTATTTGTTCCGATGGCCTTGACCGCTGATACAATAAATGAAGTGTTCCATGGACCCATGGGCACGTTGATGAGCAATGTTTGTGAAGACAGACAAATTAAAGGTTTAATTCTTAAAACTATATAGTGAATATATATAGAATATATAGTGTGGATGCTCCATGTTTTTTAATCAAAGACTGGTTAATTTAGAAAGATTAAACTTTGACTGCCTCGTTGGCCGAATGGTCGCAAGTGCGACTGCCGGACAAGGGGTCTCGGGTTCGATTCCCGGGTCGGGCAAAGTATTACTGGGTTTTTAAAAAAAATCTCAATAGTAGCACGGAGTCTGGAAATGTGCCCGGTATATATATAATAGCCCGGCAATAGACTCACCCCTTATTACATGGGACTCATAACATAAAGTGAAAAGTGGGTGTTACTTCTGTGTACACCTCTGCCTACCCCTTCGGGGATAAAAAGGCGTGATGTTATGTTATGTGTGATTAAATTTTCTATTCGGGCATTTTACTACCGAAATAGACACAGATAGAAAAAGATAATGTTTGCCATACATACAAGTATGTAATAGAAGAACTTAATTATTGACATTTGTTTATTGCCCGATAAGCTTACAATTAGACACATGACTTTCGTTGGTAGTGGTGAAGGTTACGCACGTGCTTTTGTCATTCCTACGTTTGTTTTCAATTAAGTGATCTATTTCATAGTGATCTAAATTGAAATCTTTTAAATTTTGTTTTTTTTGCGTTGGTTAAGTGTATGTGTGTGTAAGTTTTAATCAGGTATTGGTGTTTTTAAGTATATTTTATTCTATTATTTCCTCTGCCCATCCGCATCTTTTTAATTCGAAATGGACGAGGTGAAGCCACCCGATCCTCCTGATCCCGATAAATCTCCGGAATATGAGACGGAAACTATTGTCACAATTACCCTTCCTCCCAACACCCCGGATATCGAAATAATGGACGCGGAAGTTTCAAAATCCCGGAAACGACCCGCAGGTTCCCCCCTTATCACCCAAAACAACCCCCCGAAATTGGCAAAAAGTGTAAATGGTAGGCAATGTTACACGGCCAGGGACAATCCCCCTTACATAGTCTATGTGTCTCTTAAGGACTCCCAGACGTCTGGCACCACGCTTCACCCAGTTAAGTTTGGTATGTTCTTAATGAAACTAAACATTAATAATGTTAAGATCGGTGGTGTCAAACGGCTGGGGAGGAATAGAGTTTCGGTTGAGTTTGTGACGCACCAGGATGCTAACAGCTTTTTAGTAAACGGTATGGTAGCTCAAAATTATACAACTTCGATCCCACAATTTAATATTACCCGAATGGGCATTGTCAGGGACGTCCCTGTGGAATGGACAGAGGACGAAATCATTGGTAACATCAGGGTTCCCACCGGGTGTGGGGCTGTGATAAAAGCCAGGAGGATGAATCGCAGAGTCTCAACTCCAAACGGTACCGAATGGAAGCCTACCCAAACCGTAGTGCTTACTTTTGACGGCCAAACACTACCTAAAAAAGTGTTTTGTTTTTACTCAGCGCTCCCGGTAGAACTATACTCATACCCTACCATACAGTGTTATCACTGTTGCCGTTTTGGGCATACCCGCACTCTTTGCCGCTCCAAGCCACGTTGTTTCAAGTGTGGCCAGGATCATCCAGGGGATGGATGCCAGATTCCAGCTGAGACTGCCACCTGTGTCAATTGCAATGGCACCCATTTTGCTAATGACAAAACTTGTCCTGAATTGGGTCGCCAGAAGAGCATCAAAGCTCTGATGGCTGAAAAATCAATTTCATATGCGGAAGCAAGCCAGGTTTTCCCTTCTGTAAAAAGGTCTTATGCTGAGGTCTCAAGATCAGTCAACCTCATTGATCCATCTCCTAATAAAAAACCATCCCAACAAAGAGTCTCCTATAAAAAAACTATACACCTTAAACCTAAATCACATGCTCCCCTATCTCCTAGCTATGATAAGAAGGCTCATCAGGCCCTTATCCAAGACCACACTTACTCCCCATCCAAAAACGGTTGCGCTTTCCCTGTGGAATCCGGAACCAACATTCGTAGCTCCAAGTACATTCTTAATATAGTTTCTGATATGCTCATGGCAGTACTATCAAACCCTGCCCAAACTGTACCGGACCACGTCGCACACAAGCTTTCAACAATTCTTGATTACATCTGTAAAATTCCTACCTCTAACACTGCTTCAGTGGAACGTGAGGAGTACTCTTCCCAGGAAGAGTGACTTACTCCACTTGATGAATAAATTTAAACCATCGATTTGTGGCATTGCTGAGACATGGCTTCGACCGAATATCAATTTCGGGATCCCATGTTTCAGTGTTGTCAGACATGACAGATCTGATGGTTATGGAGGGTGTGCTTTGTTAATTAATAACAAAGTACCCTTCTCCCAGATCCCTCTAACCTTCGTTGGCGATGACATAAATGTTGTCGCTGTTAAGGCTGAGGACATAAATATATTTGTATTTTACATTGCTCATCCTCATGTTGACCACCTTATTTTGATTAAAAATTTACTTACCTCAGTAAGTGGCCCATTACTTGTTATGGGTGACTTTAACTCCCATCACTATAGATGGGGTTCAGATTTTTGTGATAATATGGGTAATGAGCTAGTTGAGATGCTGGACGAACTCGATCTGTGTGTCATTAATGATGGCAGCCCTACTCGTAGGTCTGCATTTGGTCAAAGAAACAGCTGTGTGGACTTGACCTTTTGCTCGCCTGTTATGGCTAGCGTGCTAAATTGGAGTTGTTTAAATTTGACCTATGGTAGTGATCACTACCCCATCATAATTAAACACCTGTCAAAATCCATCCCAGATAAACCCCTTCCCCCCCTATTAAGATATCGTTTAGATTCCGCAGACTGGGATCTTTACTCTAAATTATTAGACCTCCGCATTTCTCTCCTTCCACCAGTTAACAATGAGAATTCTTTGGAATGTTTCTCCAAATTTTCCGACCTGATATCCTCCACAGCCGAAGATTGCTTTCCTGTGAAAAATGCACCGAAAGGCAATATCCCTTCTCCACCATGGTGGGATAGTGAATGCACTGCCATGATAAGAGCTAGGAATGCGGCTGAAAAGACATATAACCAAGATATGAACCTGGAAAACCTCCTAAATTTCAAGCGAATTTTGGCTAAGTCAAGGAAATTGTTCAAGAAAAAGAAGAGACAAGGGTGGCAGAGATATTGTGGTTCACTAAACCCATCGACACCAATATCCAAAGTTTGGCAGAGAGTTAAAAACTTTAGGAACTCCACCAAACCTCCCACTATCTCCACCTTACCCGAATCTCTGAGTAACAGTTTTTTCAACCACATTGCTCCAACGTATGTTCCTACTGCAGATGAATGCTGCCTGAAATCCCATGAGATTGAGCGACCCGAGTCTCATGACCCGCTCGATTTGGAGTTCTCACCTGAAGAACTTCAAACGGTACTCAATCATGTGAAGGACTCGGCACCAGGGATTGATGGGTTCCCCTACTCATTCCTAACTAAAGCAGGAACTAAAGCGAAGCAATACTACCTTGACTTGGTCAATTTTTGCTTTATTTCAGGCTATATTCCTCCTACCTGGAAGGTTCAGGTTATTATGCCGCTGTTAAAAGCTGGCAAGGACCCTGGTGACCATTTGTCGTACAGACCTATTGCCCTATCGTCCATACTTATTAAAATTTTTGAACACCTCATCAAAAACCGCCTTGAATGGTTGGTTGAGAGCCAGAGGCTGCTTCCGGCGACTCAGTTCGGCTTCAGGAAAGGTCTGGGTACGGCTGACAGTGTGGGTACCCTCACTTCAGCCATCCGACTGGCCCTTAGCAGGCAGGAGTCGTTGGTCGCAGTCTTCTTGGACATCTCAGCGGCCTATGATTCTGTCCTCTTACCCCTTCTCAGGCAGAAACTGCAAAAGCTGAGAATCCCGAGTAGGATCTGCCGAATTATAGCCCACATCCTTTCCGATCGTACCCTCCAATTAAGAACTCCTGAGGATAACCCAGTACGGAGGTCCTCCTGGAAAGGTTTACCTCAGGGGTCAGTCCTTAGCCCCATCCTTTATAACATTTATACATATGACCTTCCCTCCTGTCTAAATTTTAACTGTAATGTCCTTCAGTATGCTGACGATATCGCACTAATGGTTACTAACAGCTCTATAACAGACGCCGCCCACTCCATCAACGTCTCTTTGGCCTCATTAAACCAATGGCTTCTGAATCACGGGTTATCTTTAAGCGCCCCAAAAAGCTCAGCTGTCATTTTTACACGCAAACGACGCACTCCGGATCTTCGTGTAGAGATAGACGGTCAGGATATCCCAATCAAAAGCAGTGCTAGATTCTTGGGGGTTTATCTCGATTCAAAGATGTCTGGGGCGGATCACATAAACACTGTGGTTGCAAGGTGTGAACGCTCAGTATCGATACTCAGAGCTCTGGCCGGGGTATGGTGGGGTGCACACCCCTACTCATTGAAGCTCATCTATAATGCATTGGTCAGAAGTGTAATGGACTACTGTTGCTTCCTTATTGTTCCTTGCAATAAGGGTGCATTAAAAAAACTAGACTCCATTCAGGCCAAATGCCTTAGAATAATTATCGGAGCTATGAAATCATCCCCCATAAATGCTCTTCAGGTTGAATGTGTAGAGCCTCCCCTCAACCTTCGAAGACAATACCTGGCAGACCGCTTCATCTCAAAAGTCCTCTCCCTCTCATCACACCCCCTTCTTCCTATCCTAGAACAAATCCACTGTTCCTATAGGTCCTCTTCCTACTGGAACAATAAACCTGTCCCTCCCGTGATTGTCAGGTACAGGGAGCTTAAAAACCTCTCTGCACCCATCAGGCAATATCCTGTACTCCCGGTTTTCTCTTCCGCATATGAGGTTATCCACTTCAAGCCAAAGGTAATTCTAGGACTCGGCATCTCGAAATCCTCCGTAGATGCTGCGGGCGAGTTTGGGCGCGCTTTGAACAGTTACTGGAGGGGCTGGAATATTTTCTTCACCGACGCGTCTAAACTATCCCGAAATGGAAGTACAGGAGTAGCAGCGTACTTTCAAAATTCGAAGATCGCCCTCCTCTCCAAGTGTCCCCCGGAAGCATCTGTCTTCACGGGAGAATGTGTTGGCATTTTAGAATCAATAAAATTTATTAGAGCACACAACCTTAGAAATTCTGTTATTTTTTCCGACTCCCGAAGTAGCCTACAGTCTCTCAACCAAGACCAGCTCCATTCCCGAACTCATAGCAGTTTGGTTGTAGAGATAAAGGCGCTTCTTTTTTCTTGCTTCAAAGATGACATAAATATCGAGATCGCTTGGATTCCTGGTCACTCTGGCATATGTGGTAACGAGTGTGCGGATTCATTGGCCAAATTTGCGGCCTCGAATGAGGTCGAACGCCAACACTACGTTGTGTACGGGTATGATATACGTGCCGACACAAAACACAAGCTGTTTGACTCATGGGCTGCAGTGTGGGTAGAAACTTCCAAACGGAAAGGTGCCTACTATGCAGTTGTCCAGCCCGGCATCCGACGGAAACCTTGGTTTTCCAAGTACCCTAAGCTTCCCCGTCATACTGTTTCATCCTTGTGTAGGCTCAGACTCGGCCATTGTAGTAGTCCGGTCTTCCTCAACAAGATCCGTGTCCGCGACAGCTCGCTGTGCGAATGCGGCCTTGATGAGGGAACCTTAGAACACATATTTTTTTCGTGTCCCTTAAATTCCCAATCCTTTGACCTCTATAAAAAACTTCCCAGTATCCAAATCCCACTCCCAATCAGTTTCCACCTCCTTTTAACTCACTTTTCCCACAAAGTAATTATTTATATATGTAAATTTATGAATGAAAATGTGATCAAAATGTGACGGTGTCCAATGATGTATATTATCTGTCTATATTGTGTATGTCCCCCAACTATTTTTTACACCACTGTATAATACAGTAAAATAGTTGATAATGTTTATGTTTTACTAACCCAATTGTTTTGTCCTTTCAGCTACTAACAACTAAAAACTACCGCAAAGTTAAGTTCGACGGTCCAATAATTTTGCCGTCACCACTCGACACTGGCAGTATAGTCGACAACACCATTTTGGAGACTCAGTTGCCAAAGAAGAAAAAAAAAAAAAAAAAAAAATTAGACACATCTTAGTATGAGCTTTAATGAAAAAAAATTATGCTTCCTCATCAACCAGGAATCGAACCCAAGACGCCTAACTCAGCAGTAGTGTTAGCGACCACTGTTTTGAACGACATAGTTTTGTTACGTTATGCGTACGATTTTTGTATATCATGATAATGCTTTAATTTTTTGTTTTCGATTTCTATTTTGGAATCGTGTCCAGTGATTGTTAGTGGCTTGTTGCCATAGGACCTTATATTAAAACTTGAATTATTGAGTATTTTTTCAACATGTATGTATTTTATTTCTGTCTACCCCTTCAGTAAAGAAGATATAGAGTGATTTTATGAATGAAAATTATTTTGGAAACACTCATTTGCATGCATTTGGTGTTTTTATATATTATAATATAAGGTCCAGGATACAACAAAATTGTAAAACTTTTTTGAAATAAACATTATTCTTATTCTCTTATTGCTATTCTTATATTTCTGAAAAGAAAAGTGATAGTACCCCTACACTAACAGCTGTAAAAACCCTACACTTCATTTTAATTATTTAATCATTTTTATCATCCGCAATGCTACTTACCATTGATATCAACAACACTGGCGATCACCGTAGAAAAACACGCAACGAACCACACGCACCACATATCGACACACCGCCTTGCGCGCGCGCAGCCTCTAACCGACTTGCCAGCACTTGAGTAACGCGCCTGCGCCGCCCTTCTCTGCGTTACGACAGATCATCTCGGTTACACCGTGTCCACACTTGCGTATACGCAGAAAATCAAGTTATTATAATAAGTTAGATATCTTTTAATAACTGTATCTTAGGACTCAGGTAAAGTGTAATCATTCTGAAAAAGCGCACTTAACTGGATTAAAATTCCAGTTGTCACATTCGTCAGGTCATCATGTCGTGTTTTCGTGAAGGTAGGATCGTGTTCACTATTAACCTCCCAGCGTAAATACAAGAGTACCAAATAATTAAAAACTACCTAATAATTAACAATCAATAGTCATTATGTCCATAGTTTATTATCGTATCAATTTAACAGTATATCAGCATCCCATAAATTAATCCGTCAAAACTGGAACATTGACATTGTTTTTTATGAATTAAACAGTGTCCCACGAGTTGTAACGACTTTTTTCTAGAATAGAATTTTTTTGAATGATAAGATGTTGAAAGGTGTTTCTGTCTGGCTGTCTTATCTGACTCTGCACCATTCCTCAAGGCCATCGCTTTAAAAGATTTGCTGCAGTATTGATTATCATGATCCATAACTGCGATCCACTGGCTGTACAAAGTAGGTCTTCTGCCCTCTTCTGTAATGTGACATTATCGAGGATTTTCAATCTGGTCAAGTGTGAGTTGCTAAACTGCGAGAGATGTGTTAACGTTACTGGTTGTAGAATGCGCAACAACATGTCATTGATTTTGGAATATTTTGGGATATTGCATTGTATATAAACATATTTTATAGTCGCCTAGTTTTAGCTGAACGTTGCGCAGGAATGGGACGTAGAGCTTGTTTCTACATCGCTTGTGACGGCGCTGGTTTAAACCAACATCCTGCTATGTTTTACATACCTGCGCTTTATTCTAGGTTTTTGGCAATCATGATGGAAATGTCACTCTGTTCTCGTACTTCTCTTTGTATCTGTTGCTTGTAGTAGATACAACTGCCGCACTAGTACCGCCAGTAGTAGGTACGATAAATGACATTTATTTCCCATATTTAATTTTAGCGGCCGAAATAAAAACAACTTAGTCCAAACTCTTTCGATCGATCTTGATTTGATAAAACTAATGTAAGTAATGTCAATTTCGAATTGTTATCAATTATTAATTTGGACCATACGTGTACCATGGGACAAAATTTACCCGTCTAAATACTAACGCTGTGATAAAATATAATACAAAACACTTGTAGCTACGAACGGTCAATGGAAAGCCTTCTGGCTTTGGTTGATCAAAATAGAAAGATGGGGAAACTAGTCGAGTTCCTCGTCAGGTAATTACGTGAGTAAGCCGAAAATATAATAGATACTTAATTAATTTAGTATATATGTTTTTTGTTTTTTTAAAAAGACGTAGATTTTCTTCTGTGTCGTGGGTGCGTTTACAAACATACAAGTTCACACACACCCGGAGAACCTAACGGGTAACCGGGGCTCCGGCTCGGCGTGCAGGAGAAGGAACGGGGTGGTTTTTAGTAAGAGTCTGACACTCCCTCTCGCCTCACCCAGGCGGGAGCAGTCATTCGATGAATTTCCCCCTTAAAAAAAAAAGACCCGAAACAACAATTTGTGGATCACACAAAGTGTTGTTCCGTGCAGGAATCGAAGTTAATCGAACCCGCGACACGTTGCACGGCAGCCGGTTGCCCAGCCACCGCACCAACCGTACAGTCATATCCCACGATAGTTACAATAACTATAAATAAATTAGAAAGACTGCGAGCCCACTGAACAACACAATCTGAGGAAATTAAGAATTCTTTCACGATCACAGCGGTCCGACAGCGGTTAACCTAGACCCGAGAATATTTATTATATGAACTCTTTTATTTGTTCAAAAAGAATAACAAACAGAATAATGAATGTACCAGTAAATAAATCATAAAACGCACCTAACAATTCTTGTTCATTTTCAGCGCAAAGTTTTTGTTCACAACTTTAGAAGTACTTATCTCCTTGTGGGATTATTGAGCGAGTGTTCATTACTGTCAGTAGGTTAACGGTGCAATATAATACCAACCCAACACGAAATGACTTCTAGCGGTCGTGAAGGTCCAATCAACACCCCTCGGGTTGATTGAACCTTCGGGAATCTCACTCACACGACGAAACACAACTTGAACCCGAGACTTAGCTCATGGTTTTGTTCCGTCAACAGCATTACTTGACCTTGACCAAGATTCCTGTTTTCTATAGAAAACGTTTAGTGTACATCGATCTGCCAACCTGTCCCCAGCAACAAGTTCGATAGTGTTGCCACACTCGAGGTGAACGTCCACTGCGTCAGTTCAAGGTCCAGTGTTGCAACATCGGAATATACTAATGTGCAACAACTTTATATTACTTTTTGTAATGTAAACTAATGTGTGGTTATAGATGAGGGAGTTCGTTTGTATGTACTGACTTTTGCGAGCGGCTTCGCCCGCGATCCCGTTGGTTAAAAAGGCTTGTGTTATTCCAGACCACAATTTACCTGTTTCAAGTTTAATCCCGATCCCTTCAGCCGTTTTAACGTGACGGAGTGAGAAATAAACATACAAAGTTTCGCATTAATATTAGTAGGAAATAGGAGTGGTGGGAATTGAATTAGATCCATTTGCATTAATTGACCTTATTTATAAAGAAGGTGATAGAAAACTTCTTAGCAATTCTCACTGTATATGTATGCCATTTACTGTTCAAGATAATCTATGACTTTCTTCCCGACACATATCCTGTCATTAGACCTTATAATTTTGCAAACACTTGATTTTTCTTTCTTATAAAACTGACTTTCTATAAAGGGGGAAAATAACAACAATTCTCAAACTACATAAAATAAAAGGCAAACATCAAAATAATGACTTTTAATGAATTGTTTTTTCTCAAATTTCAAATATGTATTAATATTTACATGAATAATCTTATTTTAAACGTAAAATAAAAATATCGTTGATTACGTTAGACAACACCGCGTCTTGTTCATTGCTTGACAACCCTATTTTGGTACCGACACATCAAAACTGGAAGTGGTACCGTCCTTTTGTATTAGAAACTATACTCAAAAGTCTTTAAATTCTTAAATATTCTATCTATTAAAGGTTAAAGTAATGATTTCTATATTTTCTAGCAACATGAAATTAAATGCAGATGTCACAATGCAATTCTCGAAACTTCATTAATCTATGGAAGCCATTTCGACACAAGTCTGTCAAAACTATGGTAATTCTGTTTCCAGTTCTAATGTGTCAATAATCATAAGCGCTTGCGCATAGCTCCGCAAACATTTGCTGTAAAGATCTTCGTAGTACTAAAGAATCTAGTACGCGCCATTCTAACACGTATTTCGATGAGGCTAAGAGTTAAATTAGTAGAGCAAGTTTATCACCTTAATATTTATTGCCTTATTCTATTTAAATGCTAGATTTTTACATCATTAGTTGTTAGAAAACGCTACGAGGCCGGATCTATAAGCAGGACATTTTCCCAAGTTAACGTGGAGGAAAATATTCAGTTTTAAAATGACGCGTCCTATCACTCTCTGTCGGTACCACTTGGTAAACACCACGATGTCTCGTCAACATGTTATAATCAAAAAACGTTTATAATATGGAATTATACAAATTATTTCCCAATAATTATCTTTATAATTTTAGGCTTATAATAAAAAATGCTGCAGTTGTCTAAATGTACTTTAATGGCGTTCAAATATAATTCCATTTGATTTTAGTTTACAAAAGTTCTTAGGCAGGATTTGCTGAATACAAAATAGGTACTAAGTTACAGCCTAAAATTACAAAGACGTACAAAATAATATATTGATAATAAAAACTATCTAAATTAAGTAAACGATCGTAGACGAAAACGCAACTTGAGTAAAACTAAATAAATACAGGGTGTAAACAATTGCTCCATCAATAAATATTTTAACACCTTTATTCCATTTAATAGTTATAAATTTTAACGGTCCATTTTATGGATACCACTCGGTCATCTAATTATTTTATATTTATACATATTTCAATTAGCAATTTTTTACACCTTATACTAAATTATGTACAAGTGTGCTATATATGAAAATATCTTTTTATATTATATCAAAGCGAAAGCAATTATCTAACGTATAGGACGCAAAATGAATAATTATTTAATCACTAAACAAGTCCGGACAAGATGGCCTACATTACCCGATCACTAATAATTGAAACATTTCATAACTTCACCTTGCCCGGATATATCACGTTATTTAGAATTTAAAATCGTAAATAATGCGTGGAATAAATTATAAACATTGCACATTGGCTTTGTCACTCACTTATCAAAAAGGCTACCTCGCTTGGTCTTAGTTTGACATTGACAGCTGTCATCTATGATAGGCACAAAACGAAACACCATGTACATTATAATTGTATAGTATACATTGTAAAACACCTTTTAGATTAATAATAATAATTTCCACATAAAGTAAATTGGGGTATCACATGGCTAATTAAAACTAAGAATTTTATTGCGAATTTTTAGTAAACCTATTTAGTGTTTCAATTAGCCCTGTAGTCACTTGGTATATTATAGTTAGAGCTTTATTTCAACATTACTTTATTATGGCTTAGTCGTAAAGCTAAATGTCGAAGGTGGATAGGACTCCCGGTACAATAATATGCGAAGATAAACTCTTCTAGTTACACATAGTAACTGCGACGAAGGACCAACGATCCAAAAACCGACGCGGAATAAAAAATAAAGTTACAGCAAAATAATACTTTTGAAAGACATAGGACTTAATTTCGAATTGTACCTACAGGTGCTGGACCCTGTGGATATAAGAATAACGTCTAATTTACATCAGCAACGTTGCTTACTTACGCCGTTTTGTATTGTCTTATAAGTAGAAGAGGGGGAAAGTCATATGGATATAACGTCAGATGGGGGAAGGGGTGACACTTAGTCATATAACTATATCATAAAATTCAGCTAAATTGTTAAGAAAACTCGCTCTAAGATCGCTACCAGCACGCATTATTCACACACGGTGCAACTCTATTGCCATAGATACGCTAAACTATTTGCATCTAGCATAGACTAAGAGATAGATAAAAAAGCAATATTCGTTCACATCACTAAGTGTCGCCCCTTTATTAAAGCGTTGTGAAGGACATATACACATACAAAATTATTGTCGTTGTAAAGAATAGAAGATAGAAAGTAAATGATAATATTAAGACACCAATTTATATGTAAGATAGGCACTCATTTAGAATACTAATCACACGTATTTATTTATGTATTAATTTTAATATTATTTCTATTTGCACAATCCTGTTTTCTACCATGTTTGTATAGTGGCGTTTCATAGTACAGGACCGAAACTGCTGGATTGATTTTGTCTACAATTTTCGTTTTCAATTCCTGAAACTTATAAATTGTCTCAGTAGACTTATAAAGCTGGGTATCAAAAATTAAATCAAATACTTTTCAAAGAAATTTGAACTATTTCTACAGGCTTCAAGGTTTTAAATATTTACAATATATTGAGAACGTATTATGTTTAAGTTGGAAGGTATTAAGGATAATAATTTAGATTCAAACTTGTAGAAATAGTTATAATTCCTTTTCCATTTACTAACAAAATTTTGCAAAACGGAATATGAAATTATAGACAAGATTTGGAGGGATTCAGAAATGAATTAGAAGATATACGAAAAACTAAATCTGCTTTAAGATAATAGTCAAGAAGTTTATTATTTCTTTCTGTTTAATCGTCCACATTTGAAATAAAAACTACTGTCTCAAAGGATGAATTATGAAAATATAGATTAAGGACAATTCTGCCTGTATTGTTTCGTAAATAAAGCGTGATGGTATGTACCAGTTCCATGTTTGAGCAGTTTTCTATTCAATCCAGTCGCTAGCTTAACTCTCTATCTTGATATTAAAAAGAAAGTATAATTTGAAAACTAAATAGTACAGTGGCCAGCAAGTCAAACTATACTTTTCTGTCAAATTCTTTTATTCGATTTTTATCTTTATTGTGTAGTTATAAAGTCGAAAACGAATGAAGCAAAATGACAGACTGGTATAAGTTTGAATACTTCTCTAGTAACCTCAATAGGAAAGTAAATAGGAAGAGAATTAACCTCTTTATATGAGTAAGAAAATAAAAATAAACCGTGAAAGTACACAAAACATGTTAAACAGGTCGACATTATGTCGATTGACATGTATCAACCTGTTCATACACTAACGAACAAGTCGATACAGGTACGTCAAGGCACCCCATTGCTTATAATACATTTTGAACCATTATACCTATGGGATAAGGTCGAGAATGTACTATAATGCTGGTATACCTTGATGAGCTAGTGTACTAGTGTGGTATAGTAAGGTAAGGCCGGTGTGTAGGGTTCTACTGTGGACTCAGTCGACGCCCGCGAAGCCCTGCGAGCCTTCGATGGCCTTGATTAACTTCTCTCGTAGTTGCTGGTAGCTTTCATAAGGCGGGAGATCTATGCGGTTGAAACTGCAAGGAAAAGGTTAAAATTAATAAATCACTACATAGTATAAAACAAAGTCGCTATCCGCCGTCTGTCAATCCCTATGTATGCTTAGATCTTTAAAACTACGCAACGGATTTTGATGCGGTTTTTTTTAGTAGATAGAGTGATTCTTAAGGAAGGTTTATATGTATAATACATGCATATTACACCCGTGGCGGGTCGTTAGTATCATTATAAAAATAGTAAATAAGCTGCGTGATAAAGTCATATGAATAAAACAAAAGTATGATAAGATAAAGTTAGAATTGATTGAACGAATATAAAGTGAGTACAGTGCATTCTCGTTTTGGATTTAAACCTGCACTTGTGAATCGAGCAACTAAGTACAGTGCAACCTGGTTAAGTGAGACACCAAGGGACCTGCAATGCGGTTTCACTTATAGAAGTATTCCACGTACCCAGTGTCTCAGATATACAGGTATATAAATATCTGTCTCATTTACAAAGGGTTCCATTAATAGAGGTGGACTTGGAATTACGTATGGAATTTGTGGGTAGAATAAGAATGAGTAAACAAACAATGTTATCTCAGTTACAGAGGTTTATGCATATAAAATTTACTCGCTATCTCAGTTATAGAGGTAACTATGATGATAAATCGAAAGAACAAATCCCAGATATGGAGTTTACCTCGTCCCACTAACGGAGGTAATTCAGTGCCAAAGTGTTGGGACCTTAGCATGAATTCCAGTGATGGAGGTTTCTCACTTATCTAGGTCCCACTTAACCAACCATGCAGTCGATAATTGAAAGATTGAGAACTTTGTAATTTTCTATACAGTTCATAATGTATCTACATACATGTATCTACATAGCTTAATGAGGTATAATATAAAGTACCTGAAGATCCAAAATGCCAAAGTACTACATTCTTTTTACATGATACATTCTCAAGCGGTCACCGGTGATCACTCTCCACTGACTTATACTTATAGATTTCCTTTACCTTATTTGAGATGTTTAAGACTACTTTTGTATGAACAAATTCTGGAGATATTCGGTACGATATAGGTATCAAGTGATTAAATAAGTATTAAGGGAGACTTATGGCCGTTTTTACCAACCTCTAAAACATTTCTTAACTGTGACGCTTATAGATTGGTGAAAAAAATAGGAATTCCATAAAAGAGTTAGAGAGTTTGGCAAAAACATGCTTTATTATCAAGTACTAAGTATAATGGATACACTGACCACGTATGTGCCCGCGGGTAGTTATCCGGCGCGCCCCACTTCTCGATGGTGAAGAGTTGCGGTCCGTTACTGCCGTACAGCTCCTTGAACCCGTTCATGGGCACGCGCGACGTACCCGTCACGAACTGCAGCAGCCGGGACCGCATCTCGTTCGAGAACGACAGCACCACCTGGAAGGGGTATTTAGAAGGGTCATCATCAGTTTAAAATTCGACTTAATATTAAAGCTTATGATTTTTTGAGCGCACTAGTCTTCTGAACTACTGCATTGAATTTGAAACCATTGTTTGTATTGAATAGTCCATTTATCGGGGAAAGCGATAACTATAAAACATCATGATGTACTAATAAATCAAATCTAAGGAAAGTGTTAACTTTTGAAATGAAATATTGATTGATTCTTATTCCTAACATCTACGTAAATAGACGAATACGACTTTTCTCGAATGAAAAAATTTAGAAAGACACATCTAAAAAACGAATAAACCCCAAAAAGTGTATTCTATTAAAGAATGGTGGCGTGGCGTACCCTCCAGAACCACTGCACGACGAGATGGTTGGCGTGGTAGTCCCCCTTGTAGAGCGTGTTGGCGCGCCAGTCGCGCACGTCGATGTGCTGGATGCCACACAGGAGCAGCTCCAGCTCGTGCTCGTCGAAGATCTTCAGCAGCGGCAGCGGCACCAGCGCGCCCAGCCCCTCCAGGAACGAGAACATCTGCTCCTGCACGCGCGACACGAACCGCCACTGGATCACCAGTCTGCCACCCAACACACGCGGTTAATTAACTACCTCGAAAGGTCGCAAGCTCGCATATAGGCAATGGGTCTCGGGTTCGATTCCCGGATCGGGCAAAATATTAATAGGTTTAAAAAAATCCAGTAGCAAATAGTCTGAATTTGTACCCGGTATATGGCAATAGGCTCACCCCCTATTACATTTTTTTTTTTTTTTTGTTTATATGATGTGACCTCATGCGGTAACATCATAAAAAAAATTACAATCTAGCTTTAATGCTAATAAGTAATTCTATTTTGTCTTAATTTGCTAGGAAAGTATAACTAAGAATGTGTCCATTAACACTTTTCTTATTGTCTCTATTAAGGGGAAGACACTTTGTTATTGTGTTCTTTGCCGGTAGCACTCACTACTTTACACTAACACTTCACTATGTTAACTCAAAAGGTTTTGTCCTTTTTAGCCTTCTCACTATGTCCGTGTTGTCGAGGAGCTGGATAGCCTCGATGTTCACATGGTGGTGAAGCCTTCGCTCATGGGCTTCTGCACACTTTTTAATTATATCTATGACGAGGTCTACTTTGAGGTCCCGATGAAGGTCGTCATTTCGAATGTACCAGGGCGCATTGACGATTCCTCTGAGTACTTTGTTTTGAAAACGCTGTATAATTTTGATATTGCTTTGTTTGGTACAGCCCCAAAGCTGAATACCATAAGTCCATACAGGCATGAGGACTTGTTTATATAAAAGAACTTTGTTGTGCACTGACAGCGAAGAATTTTTTCCTATCAGCCAGTACATCGACTTGTAGCGTAGATCTAGCTCGTCGCGTTTCTTTTTGACATGAACTTTCCAGCGAAGCTTTACGTCTAATGTCATGCCTAGGTATTTGGCTGTATTTTCGTATGGTATTACATGGCCATTTATGTTTACCGGGTGGTAATTTGTCCTTTTGTTTGTGAAGTCTATGTGAACAGATTTTGATTCATTTAGTTTCACACGCCATTTTTTTGTCCAGTCAAAAATGATATTGACGGCTGTTTGAACTTTTTCCACTGCTTCTTCTTGAGTGGCACCTATGGCCATAATAGCTGTGTCGTCTGCAAATGTGGCAATGGTATTGTTTTCTAATTCAGGAATATCGCAAGTGTACAATAAGTACAAGACGGGACCTAGGACGCTTCCTTGCGGTACTCCAGCTTTTATTGGTTTGAGTCCTGAATATGCATCACCATGTCTTACTCTAAACATACGCTGTGATAGATAAGACTCTAAGATGTCAGCAAATTGCTTAGGGAGCATGTTTTTTAATTTGTAAATAAGGCCTTTGTGCCATACCTTATCGAATGCTTGCGCTACATCCAGGAAGATCGTGGAGCAAACTTTTTTTTCTTCTAGAGCCTTTTCAATAATGTTGGTAATCCTGTGTACTTGATCTATAGTCGAATGTTTTTCCCTAAAACCAAATTGGTAGTCAGGGATCAAATTTCTTTCTTCTATGATGGGTTTTAGTCTTTTTAAAAGAAGCTTTTCAAATAATTTTGACATTGTCGGTAGCAGCGAGATCGGCCTATACGATGTTGTTTCGTGAGGTGGTTTACCAGGTTTTGGTATCATTATAACTTCGGCAACTTTCCACTGATCAGGTACATACTGAAGTCTTAACGTTGCATTGATATGAGTCGTAACTTTTACGATGGCTTTACGTGGGAGGTTTTTAAGAACTTCTGCAGTAATAAGATCGTAACCAGGTGATTTCTTTAATCTAAGGCGGTTGATTTCGTTGTACACTTCTCTAGGTGTTACGAATTTTATTTCTTGCTCATCATTATTTGATGTTTCATTTAATAAGTCGCTATCTTCATGCTCTTCATTTGGCTCAAAAATGAGTTCTAGATGTTTTGCAAACCTTATAGCTTTTTGCTCGTTGCTTATTGCCCACCGCTCGTTAATATCTTTGATAGGGGGAATGTGCAGAATTGGCTTTTTTAAGCTTTTCATAGATTTCCACAGAGAGTAATCTGTCGTGCGATGGCTGGTTAGTTGTTGTAGATAACTATTCATTGATTCGTCTTTGTAATTCTGAATTGCTTCACTTAGTTGTTTTGTAAGGTTGTTCAGAATTCTTTTATCTTGTGGATATCTTGTCTGATGCCATATTCGTCTCTGTCGCCTCTTTTCAGCAATAAGTTTTGTGATTTCTGCTGGATAGTAGGTAATTCTATTTTTTATTTTAAAGGTGGGCGTGTTTTTCCAGGCGCATTGTTGTATTTGTGTTATAAACTCACTGATATCCCAGTCCAGATCTTCTGGTTTCTTGAGTGGGACTCTTAAATCTATCATAGACTCCAAATCTATTTTAAAGCTTTCCCAATCAGTGTTCTTGTTTACCAATGTGGGGTTGTATTCTTTCAGCAAGATAGTCTCACTTAGAGTAAGTAATATAGGTGAGTGGTCTGAACTCATATCATAACCTTCTTCAATGCGAAGAAGACTAGGTGATATATTTTTGTAAATAAAAAAGTCTATAAGATCAGGAATCTTTTTTGTATCAGTAGGCCAATAAGTGGGCTTGCCTGTTGATAAAGTTTTACCTTGTGTTTCTTCAATGGCGCACAGTAGCTCTCTGCCTTTGGTCGTTGTCAGTCGAGATCCCCAAAATGTATTTTTAGCATTAAAGTCACCTCCCAATATGTATCTGTTTCCAAGACAGTTAAGAAAAGACATGTACTGATCTGTTTTTAGTGAATACCTAGGTGGACAGTATATGGCTGAGATGGTGATAAGACAGAATTTTGTTTTGACACAGACAGCCACTGCTTGTATTTCTTCTTTTTCATGTTTCAGTTTTTCGTAGTGGAAAATATTCTCTTTTATGATGACAGCACTACCACCTCTTGGTGTGTTATGAGGATGCAGTGCATGATATACTTTATACCCTTTAATTTGGATATGAGATTCTTTAGTGAAATGTGACTCTGATATAAGGCACACATCAATTCTTTCATGGGACTCATAACATAAATAGTGAAAAGTGAGTGTTACATTGTACAGTAGCATTAAGTGCCATAATGTACACCTAGACGTGATGATTAATTAACATATTCATTATTTTTGTTGAAAAAAGAATAAAACTCATTGTTGGAGTGGGATGGATTGGGCCGGCTCGACCAAACTAATAGCACAGCGACAGAGAAAACTAGCTTTGAAATAAAATAACGCCTTCGTAATATTTCGTCATGTAAGTAAGGTTACCAAAGTATACACAAGATTTTTAAGTTCCAATACTATGAAAAAATATGTATTCTAACGTTTGTTTAAGTTTTTGACACAGACAGATAAATAATGTCAAAAATCGATCATAATCCAACATTTTTCGATTGATAATTTCAAAAGATAGCAATATAACTGTATATAAGTATACGTACTTGATATATTCATCCTTGTTATCATTATCCACCGGTATATTGGCGCCGCCCGGCTTCAGGTCCCGCTGTATAGTCTTCCCGAACTGCTCCTCGTCTACTGAGAATGTCAGGTACAGCTCTGATGGGTCATTTTCCTGTGATATCATAAAAAAAATCCACTTTAGTATGAAATGCTACATAAATTAACTAAAATCGCGGGTTACTCACGTGAATATACTGAGAAAAGTCCTCCTAGTTTCTCAGTATGTATTCACGTGAGTAATCCGCGATTTTAGTTAATTTCTTATGTCTCACGATAGTTATTATAAAAACAAATGCTACATATTTTATAGAAAACGTTTTGTTATTACGAAGTACTAACGTAAAGCACAAAGTAATTTTACATTATTTGAATTCTGACAATCAAGCGTCGTTTGCAGAATTTAAATGGTTTTTACTGTATAATAAGCAATTATAATTCTTCAATAAATTCAACATGGAAACCATTAGTCGACAAACGCTTGTAAAATTATAATTTCATAACAAATTTTATCTATATATATAAAAATGAAACCCGTTTCCCGTTGTCACGCCATAACTTGAGAACGACTAGACCGGCTTGGCAGATTTTTTTTTTGTTGCGGTTATTATTAACAGGAGAAGGTTCTTATGACGGAAAAAAGTCCTGAAAATCTTACGGGAATGGGACAAAACGGGATTGTCCGTACGAAGTCGCAGGGAGAAACTAGTCTCGTATAAATTTAAAAAATGAAACCACCGACCTTAATCCACATGAGTGAGTTATAGTACTCTAAGTCTACAGACTCCATGTCCAGCAGCTCTATCGTCTTTCCTAGCATCATCTTGTAGAATGGACGGATGAAGAACGCTGCAAATTCAAATAATAACTTTAATTCATTACAATATTTACTATAAAAACTTATATTATTAATATTTTACAATAAATCAGTAAGTTTGGGTAAATTCTTATATTTTATGTCCTCATTAAAGCTTTCGATTGAGTTTGCCATGAAATGTTTAATAGCTAAAACATTCACAATGCCGTAGAAACAATAATTATACACCTTAAAATGATTCACACACAAGTTAGATACCTACTTATATTGATTAAAAGTAATTTGCACAAATTATTCTCTAAACTTCTTACAATAAATTGAAGGGATGCCACAAGGGCCCATGTTAGGACCACCCTTTTTTGTAACTTTGACGTGATTTTTCAGAACACATTTTAAAAGAAAAACTTTAAACAAATCTTACTTCTTACAAATAATATAAATACGAAAGTTTATGAGTTTGTGTGTATGTTTGTTAATCAGTCACGTCAAAACGAATGAAGGTTCGGAATCTCGAATAACATATAGGTTACTTTTTATTCCACGAGGACACGGGTGAAGCCGTAGGTAGAAGCTATATACAAAATATAGTAAAAGTCCTCACCATCCAACAGCTTCCCATGGTACACAGCCATGCCTGCGACCCTGCCAATAAACTTGAAGTAGCTGAGATGTTCCTCGTTGCAGACGCCACTGTTGGGGTTGATCTGCAGGGTGTAGTTGTCCATGGCGGAGTACTCGAACAACCCGTAGTAAGGGTTGAACATCTCTTTCGATAACAGGAAGAACCATTCGCGGGCTAGACCACCGTAGTCTGGAAGAGGAACAATATAATTAGAAAACGTGTATTTCTGTTTTCACCAAAATTAATCAAAACAAACTAGATTCTGTGCATTAAAATATGAAGTTAATAAACCACTGGATCACCAGTCTACGACGGAACACCCGCTGTTACTAAACTACCTCGCATGGTCGCATATGTGACTGCCCGGCATTGGGTCTCGGGTTCGATTCCCGGATCGGGAAAATATTATTAGGTTTAAAAAAAATTTCTCAGTAGTAGCACGGAGTCAGGAATTGTGCCCGGTATATGGCAATAGGCTCACCCCCAATTACATGGCACTCATAATATAAAATGGTGGAAATGGATGTTACATGGTACAGAGGCATTAAGTACCGTAATGTGCACCTCCGCCTACCTCTTAGGGTATAAAAGGCGTGATGTTATGTTATAAAACAAGACTAAAAAGCAATCATATTATTATGACAGGATATCGCCTGTAATCGTCATTATTTAAATGATTTCATCTAATCAAAACAGAAACATTTACACCACTTTTGCAATGCATTTTCAACTTAATCACATATAAGCATAAAGCGTAATTTATACAAAATACTTTCAAAAATGTAATACATATTTATAATTGTGATGTCAACTTACCAAGACCGACTTCAGATTCGAACTCAACCCACAGCTTAGTCTTGAGCAGGTCGAGTCGGCTGACGGAGCTGATGATGCGGTATGAATCTTCTAAGATAGAGTTACGACGAACTTTTATCTCAAACTTGTTTGGCACGTTGCTCTGGAAAGGCAATCATTATATAGGATAGAATTTATTTCGTTTCCATCCCGCAGCAAAATAACCTGCCATTAGGAGTATTTTCGATGTATAAAGTAAAAACAAAAAAATAAAGATGTATTTTTTTAGTTTGAAAAAATATTACTTGACTTTCGCATATGAGACGCTAGATATAAATGTGTACGCACTAATCTCCTCGATATTTAATTATGGAAGACACATCAAATTATGCACAAATTACACTAACTGAAACTTAACTAGAAGTGCTGAAACATGACATTACCCTATCTGAGGCAATAAGAATACAGTGTATAGTGACATACCGGTTTGCGCAGTTGACTCTTGAGGTACTCGTACTTGCGCTTGTAGTCGCGCGAGTATGGGACGGCCGGGCCTGCTATCTGAGGGTTGGACAGGCGGGGGTCCTCCCACTGAGTCGTGCGGGTATCTGGTAGAGATCAGATTACTTAACATACAATAACAAAAAACGAGTCAATGCCTATATATTATTATTATTATGCTTATTATCTCTTCAATTTTCATAAATGGTCTGAGAAAAATCGTGTCAAGTTTGGTAAACAAAAATTACATTGAGATGAACGAACTTTAATTTATTTTTACAATAGACTTTGACTTCAACAGAGATAAAAAATGTAATCTGAATTCGTGAACATATTTAAAGGTTAAAAATATATTTTTATTAAGCAACGTTAATAGTATTGAAAGGTGATGAACAATATAATAAACTCTGAGTACTGACTGTGGTCTATAAAGAAGATTCTCCCGTCAGTATGCACCCTCTCCTCCCAGCCCTCGGGCAGTGCCCCCAGTTCGTCTGCCTCCACGGCCGCGCTACTCGCGGCGCCCGCCGCAGACGGTAAACTGGACGCACAACCTGAAACACATAATAGTATGTTATTGTAGATACACTGCTAAAAACACATATATACATACTTAATACAAAATTTGCAGGTAGTTTAAAAACTTGAGCAAAGTTTTGCGCAAAATTTATAAGAATCTCAACGTTTTAATTATTAAAGTTGACTAGTAGATAATGCGTCCGGCATTTAGTCTACCATGGTTATTGTCTGCATAAAGATTTTAATAAATAAATTAATCATATTGACATACGGTCCATAATACATACATCTCTATTATGTACTAGCTACTTCCGAGCGATTTCACACGCTCTGCTCGGCTCCTATTGGTCGTATCGTGATGTTTTATAGCTTATAGCCTTCCTCGATAAGTGAGCTATCCAACACAGAAAGAATTTTCCAAATCGGACCAGTACTTTCGGAGATTAGCGCGTTCAAAAAAACAAACTCTTCCGCTTTATACAATAGTATAAGATATAAGATTTCATGTTTTTTAAACTTACCAGTTCTAGGATCTATCCACGTCGTCGTCTTCTGATTGTGGTCAATGAAAAATATTCTACCGTTTGGCGCTCTCTGCATACTCCAGCCAGGGGGAAGACCTAGGTAGACAAATAGTAAATGTAGTTAAAATAACATAATACTTATTATTTATACGCCGGCCGGTAACACACTCATGAACTCCACACTGGTGTATATTGAGTCCATGGGCGGCGTAGATTGCTTACTATCCAGTTGCCATATAAAAAAACTAGCTACTACCGCGCGGTTTCACACGCTCTGCTCAGCTCCTATTGGTCGTAGCTTAATGTTTTATAGCCTATAGCCATCCTTGATAAATGCGCTATCCAACACAGAAATAATTATTCAAATCAGACTTGTAGTTACGGAGATTAGCGCGTTCAAACAAACAAAAAAACAAACTCTTCCGCTTTATATAATAGTATAAGATAAATACTGAACATAGGCATCCCCCAATTTAATTTCAAATCGGCCGGTTGAAAGCAACTTATATCCAATAGGCTTCCTGCTACCTCAATGGCTCGTGTTTAAACAAAATATATTTTTTCATATCCCCTTCTCTCTACTGGTAGTGTATATTCACCGTCACTGTTGGGCAGGTTCTGACTCTGCGTACTGCTGGCGCTGCTACTCCTCGTGCTCTCTGTCGAGCCGTCCGTCTCGTCCTACAAACACACACATTTGTAACAACTACATTCAATTGTACACGCTATAAAACTGGTAATAAAGTCGTGATTACTTAAAACCTCAAGTTGAGTACTGGCAAAATACAATTAAAGGTTTTATCAGTACACTTATACGTAGGATTTTAAACGAGCGTGGATGGCTATTCAAAATTGGGTACTCGCCAACTAGTCAAATTCAATGCTTTTTCAAAAACGACAGTTTTCTATGAATTTTGTACGAGATTGTGTATTGTGAGGTCACATTTTGTTTTAGCGTCAAACAATATACTTATTTCTTAAAGAAATGTTGGTAAAATACTAAAATTAAGTTGGTCATAGAATCAATTAATGAAAATGTTATTTTTTTATATTTAATTGCATTGAACAGACGAAATAAATTAGTCTTTAATCAAGGAAAGTACTCAATTTTAAAAATTGACGAGTATTGCGTAAGGGACTTACGCTTCTTGCAAAGATCCATTTTTAACCCCATAATATTAATAACAATAATATTTGGCATTTATTTGCCTTCTACACAAATTAAGAGACCGAATAAACAATGCGTTCTTCCAAAGTAAGAAAAATATTCTCTATTTACTGAATCATCCACGCACACTTAAAAACCTCACCCTGTATACCTGTGTGTAAATATATGCATATTTACATATATCATAGCTGCCTAGCTTACATAGTCTACGTTTTGCAGAAAAGCTTCATATATTCTGTATAATCTGTGGATACAACTTTGACAACCATATGAAAATTCTTAGCGAAGAGAGGCATAGCTTTCTACAAGAAACATTTTTCTATTTTAAAATGCCTAAAGAATGGAGATCATTATCCCTCAGGCTTTTGAAGATGCACTAAATTGACAATAATTACATAAAATAGGCAATAGATAAATAATATTCCTTCAATCAAAATGATTAGGTTGTCAAAGCTTTCTTAGCATAACTTGATATTTAAACTTTTCCCAACGAAGAAAATACAAATTCATTGAAGAACCTGATGAAAGTAGAAAACCGGCACAAATAAAATCCCCTGTCACGTAAAATACATGAAAAAACACCAAACCTTACCTTAACACTACGGACATATCATTTCAAACCGCCAAATATCTACTTGGAAGCAAAAATACATAACTCAAACTACATAATAACAAATACTAAAAATACAATAATATATCTAAAGTTAATGAAGCAGTACAGCACAAGCAAACATGTACATAGGATGTCAAACAGATTTATTATGATGTCGCATACATAATGTTGTATTAGAACGGAATGTCAAGCATTGTCAGACTAGCTCACGTTGTTAAACATTGTGTTATGTTGGCGCGCTTTTTTATCACTTTTTATCTGTGGACGATACTCTGTGGAACCTCTATGGTAAGGTATCAATGTGCATCGTCCACAGATAATTCATAGTTTGCAGCACAAGCTTGTTTGTAAGCGTTTCGTTCAATAGTTTGTAGAGGCCTAAATGACCAGAAGATAAATAATATAATACAGATTGGAATAGGGATAATTTAAAGCTTTTTTATATATATTTTTTGAAATTACATGCGCGGCATTTGGAAGGCCTTGTGCTACAAACAGCCTAAGTATGTACCGGAGTCGGTGAGCGCGGCGAGGCCTCGGGTGTTAGTGACGTAAGCAGACATCACAGTAGCGTGTTGTGCCTCACACTTCTTACTCATAGACAATTTCCCAAAGCACTCCGCCGCAGGCCAAGTGCGGGTTGCGACGCAACTATTAACCGTGCACTGTTGTTATCAAGTCTATATTTGAATGCAAAAGTTTTACATAAACTTAAAATCGTAGTGAGAAATTGACAATTGAATTTGTAACTTATTATCCCGCGCTTTAAGATGTTATTTACAATGTACTACGTATTGCAATGTACATATTTACGTATAACTTTCGCGTATACTTGTGTTCGAAGGCCATATATCGGCTAGATCGCATCGCGTCCCGCACGCGGCCCTGTGGTGTCTTACCTCGGAATCCTCCATGGAGCTGGTGGTGGTCCTCCGCCGGCGATTGGTCGGCGTGGCCACAGGTGACGCGCCGCCCGTCGGAGTACTGAAGTGATTCTCATCGAACGTCAGAGCGTCTTCCTCTACTATTACTTCTGCCTGAGCTACTGCTATCTCAGTCTGAGGTGCTGCTGTCTCAGTCTGAGGTGCTGCTGTCTCTGTCTCCGCAGCTTCTGTAGCTGCTGTTTCAGTCTCATTTTCAACCACTTCTGTCTGTGTTTCGTTCTGTGACTCTGTCTCATTAGCTGTGTCCCTCTCATTAGCCACATCTCCTTCGTTAGCTGTATCTCTCTCTTCAGGCGTGTCGGTACTGCCTTGTGCCACCTCTGTATTGTCAGTCGTGTCTCGACTCTCTCCCTGCGGTGCGTCAGAAGGTGGCGTGTCACCGCCTGCCCCGTCAGTAGTGGTATTGTTAGCAGCTTCAGTGTTGGTGTCCTCAGTTAGTTCCGCTGTGTCGGCAGCCCGGCTAACTGCGTCGTGACTAGTACTCGTGTCAGTTTGAGCGTCGCCAACTACTTCGTTGGCGCATACAACATCGTCGTCCTCCTGTATCGTTTTGTTTCCTAAATTATTATCACAGTCGGTTTCATCACTTATACTATTAGTTTGGTTCGTCACCGCGCTGTCCGCAACGTGTGCGACGGGTTCCGGCGATCTGATCGGTGTGGAAAACGGCGTGGGGTCCGTCGAGTTAGTCTCCCCACTTCTATTGCTTATATCCTCCTGTTAGACATTTACATTGGATAATACTTGCCGCATAAACTTACGCGTGCAGTTCGATGAATGTTCCGTACACAAATGTTTGTTTAGTTCCATCGACTGCACGCTTAAGTTTGCGCCGACATGATTACGTCCCGGATGATGCCGGGTGGAAGCGTGAAGCATCAATGTGCTGCAGGATTGTCTATGAAAGTGAGGACAACACAGCGGATGCCTATGAAACACCCGAACCGATGAGCATAGACTATCGTCTTATTAGTGTTTGTATGCATGAATAGTTGTCTGTAATTTCCTGAAAGATCTCACATTAAACACAAGTAGTTTTTTATAATTTTTGACATACAACAATTTATAATTTAGGGTTAACAATTTTTATTGTAATGGATGATAACACCAATAAAAAAACCTTTCAGAAAAGTGTCATATGAGAAACCATGTACTCATTTTGAAGTTACAGTGTTGTAATACAATTTACAGTATAGGTATAGGTACAATTATCGATTAGGTCGGCGCCAGACATTTGGTGATGAAAAGCAAAGCTAGAAATATGACGAAGCAAGAGATTTTTTTTTAATTTGCGCTAAGCTTTAAGCCCTTTTTATTTCGGATTATATTAGAACAACAATTTTGCGCAAACAGGGCGTTAGCGCAAGTACTTGCGCATCAATGTCTGACGCCGCGCTTACAATAAGTATCTGGCACAAGATGGCACATTTCTAGATGTGTTTCGAAGTCAATGGTTCACTTGAATAAAATTACTGCGGGAAGCGAAGAACATGCAAATCTTAATTATTCATGCAATTTTTAACAATTATAGTACTTACGTTTGATAAAAAGTGATTTGCAAGAACATATTTAACTGAAAGTGTATTTTTATATAGTAAAACATGCTTTTTATACCCAGTAGAAATATAAATTAGCTGCTGAGTGCAAAGAAAAATAAAATAAAATAAACAAAAAATGAGTACACGGCTAGAGAAATTACTGGAAGTGTGGATATCACAAGATTCATAACATTTTTTACTGTATAGACATCTTAGGATATTTGATGACGGGATATTGACACTTCCAGTATATAATAAAGAAGTATGTATCGATGTATTGTTAGTACATATCTATATCGCTGAAGCCCATGCTGCGAAACAAAATATTCACTAACAGAATCTGACTAATAAATATCCTGATAACAAAGAAATATATTGTTTTTAAATAAATAATATCCTCAACGCCTCCTCAACACATGCGTCCAATATCTTGCCGATACCGCTACTACGCCATGCAAAAACGACCTTAACACATTGTTATATAGTCTATAATTGAATATATAGGAGCGATATTGGTGATAATAAATATTTGGAACAAGAAACGCCGCCGTACATTGCTGTAATTGACTGATAAAAGAAAATAAATAGTACTTATTATTATCAGACAATAATATTTAGATATTATTTTATTGTCTTGTAAGATTCATGCCATCGATTTGGTGATCTGAATAAATTTAATCACACACTAATACTTTCATTAAACACATATTTATATGCACAAATTATCAACACCAGGGCCGTTCGTTCGTCACAATTTAAGAAACAAAAGAGATTCTTCACTTATAATAAAATCATTTTTTTAAGTATAATAAAATCATTTTTTTATGTGCACAGATGTGTTTTTTAATATTTAATTAATCTAGTAAGACTTTATAATGTGTAACTATACTACACTATTTGCCCGATTACTGAAACGTCACTCAATTATAAGTTGCACTTAACCGCTTGAATGCCTGTATAAGAGACACAATAGAAAATATATTGTGTCTCGCGTTGGTCCACACACGACGGGTTAAGTATTTTTTTTAAGGGGGGAAAATCATCGAATGTCTGCTCCCGCCTGGGTAAGGCGGGAGGGAGCGTCAGACTCTTACTGACTAAAAACCACCCCGTTCCTTCTCCTGCACGTCGAGCCGGAGCCCCGGTAATCCGTTAGGTTCTCCGCGACAAAGGTTAAGTATAGTTCTGTCACTACAACTTCTTTGTAAAATGACAGAGAAGGCACGATACTTATGTACAACTTAAAATTAAGGAGCCTTTCAGCATCTGGGTGTATGTTTGAAAAACCACATGTCTTTAATTTAATTTGCAGATATAATAGATTTGTAGTTTCTTGTTCATTGTTCTAGATATGACTATACGTTTTAGAACCAGCACCTAGCTTCACTGTACGGACAGACTGATGGACAATTCAATTATGACTTTGTACTTTGTAGTATACAATTAAAATCAAATCAATCAATTACAGACAATACACGTGTTCATACCCGATTTATATAACATTAGAAATCCCTAAAACATTACAAGTTGGTATAACATAAGACTACAATATAAATACCTGATGGTTCTGTGTGTTGGCGGGGCTGGCGGCGAGTTCATCGTCCGCAGAGATATGGAACCGACGCTGGAACTCCGTCGCAGCCGTCTCCATACGTTCCGCTTGCGACTCCGTACTCATATTGCGCCTGGAAAAATTAGATTAGTTTGAAGCATTGCATTGCCCTGAATATTATCAATACATAGTAAAAAACAAAGTCACTATCCGCTTTTGTCTGTCCCTATGTATGCTTAGATCTTTGAAACTACGCAACGGATTTTGATACGGTTTTTTTTAATAGATAGAGTGATTCTTAAGGAAGTTTTATAACGTATGATACATGCATATTCCACACGTGCGAAGCCGGGGCGGGTCGTTTCTTAGAGTACTATCTGCTGCCCGCGCCGCGTTAAAAGTAGACAATGTGTAATTACAAACCATAATCTATTACTGTTTCAAATTCCATTAGGATCCCTTCGTGGTTGAAACACAAACTTTCACATTTCTAATATTACTAAGATTATAAAGACGAAACAACTGTTTTTGTATGCAACGTTTTCACGTCAAAACTACAGCATCGATTTCAAAACGTGTTTCACCATTAGAAAACTGCACATTAGTGAATAATATCTAGACTATACCAAGAAAAGAAAATACTGCAAAGTCACTAATTCACGCAGACAAAATCGCGGGCAATACGGGCTAGTTTTGTACAGCATTCTTTAAACTTACTTGATAAAAAGTCTCAGTATTGTATCCAACATTATTAATAAAAAAATATCTATTTATCACGCCAAGACGTTAAATAAACCATGAGTTGAAGTTGAGTATAAAATACTTTCGTTGGTGGATTAAGAATAGCCGTATTATAAGTTGATTTTAGCCATTTCGTTGGTGTTTGCGTCCGCGTACTAGAGGAGAGAGCGAGCGAGTGAGCTTAGTGCCACTGGGTGAGAAGCCAGGAACAGTTTGTTAAACATATTAATATACTAATCGTACTAATATACTAAATACTAATTTCACTAATTACTTTTATTACTATGTAATTACCAATCAATCACTTCTAATTACTAAACAATTTACAAATACCATTTCACTAATTTATTTTAATATTATAAATGCGAAAAGCTAAAAGAAGCTATTAGTTTGTTTGTTTGTCTGTCTGTCTGTCTGTTCTTCACGCCGAAACTATTGAATCGATTTGTATGAAATTTTGCATAGATATAGATTAGGACCCGAGAAAGCGCATAGGATATGTTTTATCAGCTATTTTAACCGACTTCAATAAAAGAAGTTTCTCACATAGACCTGTATGTACGTACGTTTGTATGTATGAATATTTTTGCGCGATTATGTAGCGATTGGCTGAACCGATTTTGAAGCGGGTTTGAGAAAGGTGTTTGTTACACTTACTAATACTTAGGTTTCTTTTTTAAACATAGTTTATAAAGGAATTATTCATATTGTATACTCATTATTATAAAGCTGACGAATTTTTTGTTTATCTATTAAATGCCAGTAACGTACTTGTAACGCCTCTGGTGTTCCAGGTGTCCATGGGCGACGCCGATTGCTTACCACCAGGTGATCCGTCTGCTCGTTTACCGGTTTAAGCCATACAAAAAAAGTAGATCTACGTTCCGGCACACGACGGGTTAAATATACTCACGTGAACGTAGGACGTTCCCATTGCGTGGACCTCTCGATGTGGTTGACGTAATACGTTCTGCCATTGGCGTCCTGCCTCTCCTCCCACCCTGGCGGTAACGGATCGCCACCAATCGCCTGAAACAAACACATTCACTATCATTATGTTGTCCACGTTAGAATAAATGTAGGTAGCTTATTACACACACACATATCATCACGCATTTTATCCCCGAAAGGATGGCAGAGATGTATATAACGGTAAATCTCTTAAGTATCGTGAGACATACTAAATTAACTAAAAACTGCGGGTATATACTCACGTGAATATACTAAGAAAAGCTCTATTAGTTTCGAACCACACTCACTGTGTCAGTGAGCTGCGCGACCGCGCACGCTGCTCATAAGGAAGAACCCCTCTGTGGTTCGAAACTAGTAGAGCTTTTCTCAGAATATTCACGTGAGTAACCCGCAGTTTTCAGTTAAATCTCTTAAGCACAGATTTCTATAGAGAAGAGATATTTATTCATCTATACATCGTGCCTTTTCCCAAGCTATTTTTGATACCGACATTAAATTTTAACCAGATTTGTCTGAATATCAATATTCTACATTTAATAGAATTAACAATAATACTTATGAACCCAAATGATAGTCTTCCTATTGTACGATGATAGTACCAAGCAAAGTTTATTAGAAAATTTAGAAAAATGTCTATTCTATCATATACGTTTCAATTAGAATATGATAAAGCAAGCAAAAATAAACTTTAAGGCATGCACAATAAGCTCCTCAACTTTAACAACTCAATAAGAGTCGAACCATAAAACAATACAAACGCAACAAAAATAACTTAAAAATCATCCACCCTGTATAAAGCAAATTAGGATGGGAAACAATATCAGCGAGTGATACAAACGACATAAATGTGCAAATTTAGTCGCTATGGCACTCGCTTTAAAGTTCATAATTAAATAAAAGAGACGTACAATGGCTAGCGGCGTGCGCTCGACAAGCTCCCAGTCGTCGCCGGTGAACGAAGGGACCGAGCTCGACACGACCTACCATGAGGCAAACTAAGCCTGAACGTACCATGCAATAACATCCTTATCTCATTACGCTTTAAGTCTAATATAGCATGCAACGTCACAATTTAAACTTAAAAGAATTTTGCAAAAAAAAGAGAGTTGAACGGCTGTTTATTCATTCGGGGTTGTTATTGTTGTATGTGTGGGTAAAATTTTTACAATGACATGAATATTCGATTGATGAAAGTCTTCCAAAATTTCTTTAACAGAATACTCTTGTCTTGAATTGTTATCTAATCATTTAATCTCTATCTCAACCTTATCATCAAAGCAATAAGGTACACTTAGTAATGATGGTTTCAAACCTCTTGTTCTGGAACCACTGGACCATTCAAGGTTTTTTATAATCTATTTTCATAGTAACTATATCGACAGTAATAAGTTAATAGCGAAGGTAATTAATACGAATAATAGCATTCCTCACACTAGAATTTTCCATAACCCCTAGACTACTCGACTCCATACAATAAATTTTGGATCACATACATATTCCATGCGGGAATTGAACCCAAACTGACCCTAGTCTCAACTAATCTATAATCTATAATATACCCAATAACCATAACCAGTCTATCATGACCTATGAACAAAGTACCAACTACTTACCGGTTGTACGACGCCCTGCTGCGGCGAGGGTTCCACGAGCTCCCAATCGTCTGAGGGCGCTGGCTCCTCGGCTCCGGCCTCACCCACACGACCTACTAGTGCGTGGTACACCTCAATGTAGCCACGAACTCTGGACCTGGCACTGTACGAAGACATTAAAGGTCACATCAGTAAAACAGAGAACATTTTCAGTTTAAAATTCAGATTCTACCTAAGTCTACACATAGATCGTATGTGTGACTGGAAGGGTAAATATAAAATTGAGAATATAATAGTAATTGGTGTGTCTACGAAGGTATAACTTCAAGATAGACAAACTACACACAATATTGATAAACATTGACTTTCTCTACTTTAAAAAGCCGGTTGACATCTTCCTTTAGGTACATGTCATACGGATTTCTGTATTTATAATAATTTACATATTTTGAAATCTCTTAAAAATTAGTGCATGAAAATACATGAAAACCGCACAACAGAAAAGTGACCGGTAACTAAAAATTTTCAAAAATGGATTTTTAAAATATATTGCTGAAGGTGAACAGACAGAGATGCGTTGTAGAACAACACCAAAGAATACAATGCCAACACCAAAAACACACATTATATTTCTACTACAATTAGGAAGTGAATTTCATTTCAGGATGCATGAACAACTCTGTATATTGTCGTAGCCAACTAACTTAATCAGTCCTTCAACTAGCGGTCTGACCGACCGGTTCATGCGTAGCTCTTTAATTAACGCCCAAATACTGAAAGGCTACTTAATTTTAAATCGCGCTTAAGTATAGTTCTGTCAGTACAAATTCTTTGACAATGACAGAGATTTTATAGGAGGCAAACAGACGGATCACCTGATGGTAAGCGATCAGCGCCGCCACCCGCAACACCAGAGGACTCACAGGTGCGTTTGCCGGCCTTTTAAAAAGGAACTCTTTTCGGTTCGGAAATACCGCCGACGACAGATCATTTCAGTTTTGCTGTGCGAGGCAGAAAGCTGCGTAATTTATTATTTATTTATTTATTTATCTATTTATGCACAACACACAGACAGTACACAGGAGAACATATATAAATATTTTGGAGGTACATAGGAACTACATATTCCCGAAGGAATCTCTTCCTGCAGTCCTTCGACAGGAAAAACGGTAAAAAAAGAGACACTGTGCGTAACACGACATGAAATGTGTTAAATAAATAGATCACAATAAAATACATAGACCTATACATACATATGATAGATACACATCAAATAATACACATATTAGAGTATATTACAAATAAACATATTATACATATATATATATATGACACTAATTTGAACAAGATGAGGAAAGGTAGTGCTCCCTTACGAGTCTTTTAAAGATTGGGATGGATTTAGAATCACGGATATTAGGTGGTAGGGAATTCCAAAGTCGCACTGCATGAACAGTGAAGGAATAGGTGTAAAAATCAGTATTGTGTGAGACAACAGAAAGATTAGATTTAAGATGAGATCGGGAAAGAGCCTCAGGAGGGCGGGCAAAGGAAAAACGTTCACGAAGGTAAGAGGGATAATCGGGATTAAAAAGTATGTTGAAAAGAAGACATAAGATGCGAGTGTTCCTGTGAAGTCGGATTGGGAGCCACTTGAGTCTTTTGCGAAATTCAGAGATATGATCGTACTTTTTTAAACCAAAGGCAAAGCGTATACAGACATTTTGCAAGCGCTCAAGTTTATTTAGAAGCTCCTCCGTGGCATCCAAATAGCAAGCATCAGCGTAGTCGATCAATGGACGGATCAGAGACTGCATAAGGTTGATCCTCGTTTTCAGAGGTAGAAGAGACTGGAGACGCTTCAGCGAATGCAAAGAGAAATGAAATTTACGACTGATCTCGTTCACCTGTTCACCCCACGAAAGGTTAGAATTAATAAACACGCCCAGATTCTTGGCAACATCAGTGTAAGGGATAGTAATATTTAAGTGCAACTTAAAATTGAGTAGTCTTTCAGTGATCGGGCGTATATGGCTGAATATCTCATTCCAGCCATTAATTGAAGGATGAAGGAGATTAAGAACGAGTTGTTAACAGAATTATGGATCCGATTGAATAAGAAACACTGCCAAAACCATCACCATGAGAAACAAAATACTACCACCAGGATTTTTATACCACACTATTTTTATAACAGCCATGAATTAAATGGCTACTTAAGCTGGTTGGCTGCGACATATACAGTTTTACACGCGCTTTATAAAGGAGATAAAAAATAATCTACTTATATTAATTCGACACACAACACTTCGAGCACACCACAATAACACAAAGGGGTTACCAGAACTATAACAAGCTGTATTCAAACAGGACACCCACCTAAGTAACATTTATTTTGTTTCAGGTAGCAGATTTAATTGACTTTATAATGTAATCAATTGCAATGTATAAAAAAGTCGTTACTGAAGATTATCAGTCAAATAATTAGTTTCAGTAGCTTAAGTTTTATTTAACAAATAAATCAAAAATATTTTTATGATCATTAAATCCATTGCGCAAAACATGCGCAAATAATGCGCTTAATCCACAACCAATATTGTTATACCACATTTTATTAAATCCAAAATATAATAATGTAGCAATACACACTCAAAACACACACAAACACCCAAACTGTTATTAAGAACACACAAAAATAAATAAAAATTGGAAAATATACCTTCCGAGTTAGAACGGGTAGCTAAAATCATTTAAGGATGATTCGTACTGCTAAGGGAATTATTTTTAATGAAATATACATATTTTTTCTAAGATAAGATGAGCTGAAACTTATTACATAATTGCAGTGCACTTAACAAAAGTATAGCTGTCCTTCTCTGTTACCGTATGTAAGTAAGAGACAGCAATACTTCTCCATTTTTGTTTAAAAGGTAAGAACTTATACTTGTATCTTATCAATAGAGTACAAAATTCTTTGAACTGCAATCTTTAGTGCAATTTAAATATAAATCGAGGAACAAATGCAGTATCGTACTGACTTGCTTTTTGTTATATTTATCCTTTTTACGTAACGATGATTATCTACTAATATTAATCGTCTGTACTATCATTTCACTTCGCAGAATGCTGAATGAAAGATAATAGACATAGGTATCTAGTTATCTATAAAGATCTAAGGCACATTTTTTATTAATTAAAGGAAAATAAATTGCCAAAATATATTTTAAGTTGACAATAGTAAATATGGCCAAGAGCCTTAACATGCTGGACTAGGAGAGGTCCTTCATAAAAAACAGAATCAGACGGTCATGAAGCTATTTGGTTTTATACAACCATTTTACTTTTCAAGTACAAATCATCCTTCATCTAAAAAAATAAGGAGAAAAATCAAAAATACGAAGCTCACGGCATGCTTAGAGCATTACTTACACAGACCTGCGCGGACGCAACGGGTACTTAACGACGCTGGGGCGGGCGGAGGCAGCCGTCTCCGTGGGCACGGTGGAGAGGGGTACCTCCACCATGCCCAGGAAGTCATCCCTAGTGAGCCGGTTCTCATCGAACACTTGGATCAACAGCTTGTGCTCTGCCGGTTTTACCTGAAGGTGGAAAAGTGCGGATTAGTTTTCCTAATAGGAATTTCCTGTCTGCAATATGCCGCAGTTCAGGAGTTAATGATATCAGCTGTGTTCGAACGGAAACAAAGTTGCACATATCTCATAGTCTATTTTTTTATAACAAAATGTTTGTGATTTTCCCTAAAAATCAGGATTAATGCAGTACTTATCTCGTAAATCGGTTATATTTAACTGGAAAACTTGGAAAACTAAAAACAATAAGAACTCACCCTGAAGACAAACTCCTGATTCCATGTGGGGTTTAAAGTCTGGAATACATACAATACACATTAAATATGACGGTTTTTGTAACATATCAATTACCAACATCCATCAAATTTTGTTTATAATAGAACAATCGCTATAATATAAAAGTTAGGTAATATGATAAATAGCAATTTCCTCCCGCTAAGTTTGTGGGTGAGGGTAAAGTATATCACTTCGACTTTCAGTTTGTTAAAAAATCTACTACCAACGGTGGTGGGGAATCCCCCACCGCAGATAAGAAAGAGAAAACAAACATAACGCACCTTTTTCTTGGTTTTAGTGAGAAACGTATCAAGGGTGACATCACCATCGACCTTCTGCAACTCCACCCGCACATATGGGTCACTGGAATATATAAATACACATATATAAATCATTATCTATTAGTAAAGAAGAGTTTCACTTATAATTTAGTGATTAGGACCATAATTGGTGAGGATTACGCCTTTGACTGCCAACAGAAAACTGTTAAAGACAAATCCTCGGCTAACGCCGCCACGCCGGTCAATTTTCGACTCTACTTCCACCTCATGAGTTAAATGTGCATTTACATGACATTTAAACGAAGAATAACCTGAATTGGAAATACTTTAAACTTTGCTTCCACAATAAATATGACATTCAATCATCATGCAACGCATAAATATGGGACACTAGCTATTTCCGTACGGGTTCTGCTCGGCACCTATTAATCGTAGCGTGATGTTTTATAGCCTATAACCTTCCTCAATAAATGCACTATCCAAAACAAAAAGAATTATTTAAATCGGCCCAGTAGTTCCAAAGATTAGCGCGTTTAAACAAACAAACAAACAGACAAATTCATGAGCTTGATATAATAAATATAAGAATATTATATAAGATAGTTCTCATACATGAACAATTTGAACATAACTAATGACGGTTCTATCAATTGTCTTCAAAGTACAAATTGATTTGCAATGAAGACACAGTATAGTTTAAAACACGTTTATTATCATTTTTATGAATAATACCGAGTTTGTATGTAGTTACATTATTATAGGTACCTACTATACTATGTTTGACTGTAGTAGTGAGACAGTTATCGTTCATCTTTTGTTTAAATATGGCTGGGGAATCACTTGCGCTTAGTTCAGTGTTATTGATAGTCATATAACCAAATGAGTGTATTTTGCGGTTGATTGTTCATTGCAACATGTGAAACTACGGACTGATTCTGATGAAACTTCGCACACAGATAGATTTGGATTAATTACTATGTTACATTTACTTTGCTACTTAATTTAATTTAAATTTATTATTTTAAAAAATGTACATACATACATACATAACATCACGCCTTTTGATCCCCGAAGGGGTAGGCAGAGGTGCACATTTTGGCACTTAATGCCACTGTACAATGTAACACCCACTTTTCACTATTTATGTTATAAGTCCCATGTAATAGGGGGTGTATTTAAGTATGTGAACAGACAGAATTAGTAATAAACAATTCTGTACGTGCATTATCCTGATCTTCATGATTGATTGATATCAAAATTCAACTTCTTGACGTAGAATATAATGCATATCACGTACAACTTGATTTCCGCGACTAAACGGTATTTTGCGCAGTTGTGACGTCACAGTTTGGTGAATCTGTCAATAATTTTCATTGGATTTTCGACTTTATATCAAAACAATAGTCGAAAAGAATTGACCAGCTGGTTTCTGTACTTCAGACATAGGTATTATAAGGTATACTTTTCAATGTACCAAAATGTGACCAATAAAGAAATGAATGTCAAAATAATAAGCAATCTTATACTATTATATAAAGTTGAATAGTTTGTTTGTTCATCAAACTATGATCAATAGGAGCTGAGCAGGTGAAACGCGCGGGAGTAGCTATTAACTATATGTATAAATAAAAATGTATTTTCATTCGTTAGTCTCGCTAAATCTCGAGAACGTCTGAACCGATTTGGCTCATTTAGTCTAGAAATGTTTGTGGAAATCCAGGGAACGGTTCAAACAGTGAGAAATAAAAAGAATCTACTTTACCGGGTCAGTAATATATAGTATTAATAAAGTACAAAGAAAGTAAAGATTTGAATTATCTAGAAGAAGCCATTACAATAATAATTCCCCCGTATGTATATCAGTCGATTGGTATTTATTTACAAGTGGTCTTATCTACAAGTATCTAATATGATGTTGCAGATTTTATGAATTTCGGACTCGTTTAATTGAACTAGATGTACCTGCTAAAATACGTGATAAGGCATTTTTACAGAAGGCAAGTATTTATGTAAAAAGTGAACGGAAGTAACTATTTTTGTTTTTAGAACTCAAATTTAATAGTAGGATTTTTGGACTGGGTTTAAGTGTGGCCTTTTTGCTTCATACTTGGATATAGGCAGTTATTGGCAGTAACCACAAACAAAAAAAACAATGTTTATTATCCCATATTTTGGCACGTTATATCTATGTTGACTTCACGGTTGGTGCGGTGGCTGGGCAACCGGCTGCCGAGCAACGTGTCGCGGGTTCGATTCCCGCACGGAACAACACTTTGTGTGATCCACAAATTGTTGTTCCGGGTCTGGGTGTCATTGTGTATGTGAACTTGTATGTTTGTAAACGTACCCACGACACAGGAGAAAATTCTAATGTGGGGCTTTTTTTTTAAAAAAAATATTTTCATTCATATTATGTAAATAATTCTAAAAGAGACCCTCCATCTGAAAGAACGAACTCGAATGGCAGATTTTCTTTAACGAAAACCAGGTTACTTTTAGTGTAATTCTTATAATGTTGTACTCAAACCGGATACTTCCGTGTTGCGTAAAGACAATAAATATGACTATATTGGCATCATTAAGAAAATATGCACCCCAACGCCGCAAAGATAGGGACCTGATCAAAAACGTTAATGTTAGACTTTGCACCCAGTTGGATCCGGTTGGACCGCTAGTGTACCGCGATACACAAAGGTTTAGTCTGATGATTACATCTACATATTCTGATAGATAAGCAGGCTATGCGGTGAATCAGCAGGCAACTATTTAGGGTAGGATTAGAATTTGGTGACAGTTTCTTTCCCTGAACTAGGCACTGTTTAAAATAATTTCTCAATAAATAAAGTTAAAAAGGAAACAATAATATGCCAAATTACTTTTA